CATCATACCCAGTGTCAACCAATACCAAAAAAAGGTCACAGCAAGTGCCTATTCAATAGCTCCATCATCAAGAAGTTGGGATGACCCTTTTTGAAATTAAACTTGTAAGCAGTTTTTTCAATTTTATGTATCTCTGCATTTTGTTCTGTTTAATGCTTATGAGTTTATGATTTTTAATGGTTTTTCTACTTTAGAGGATTCACTGTAATTTATTAATTAATGTTTGTTTTTTTTGTTTAATGTAACTATGGGTATTTTTTTGTTTGAGGCAAATTTGTAATGTTTGTTTTTTTGTTTAATGTTGGGTATTTTCATTTTACTGTAATTTTGTGTATTTTTTCTGTATTTTGGGTATTTTTATTTTATTACAATATCGTAATGTTTTCTCTTTATTATAATTATGTATTTTAATATTGTTGAAGAACTCATTTAGTGAATTATTATTGGTGTATTTAAATGGTTTATTTTCTGATTTTGATGAAGTTCTCACCTTATGCTTTGAATATATCAGTATTGCAAGTGTTTCAGTTGTATCTGGTTTATTTTGGGATATCATATGTAATTACTAGGTCATTGATAAAGGGTACGTTTCTATTTGTTCTCTCACCAGCTAAATAAAGGGTATTAATTTTATTTTTCTGTGTAGTACGTTAGACTGCACCCTCCTAAAGGAAGTAAGTTACCAATGTTAAAAATTCTAATTTTGTATTCTTTGATAGATTTTTAGGCAGAGTATTCATGATGAGTACACTGAAATAGGTGGCAACTGTCTGCTGTAGAAAAAATTCAAGTGTAAAGGATGACATTTTGAAATTCTTCCATCTTTTGTCTTCAGGTCCTGTTAGTGTGTGTGTGTGTGTGTGTGTGTATGTTGGATATACGAGACTGTTTTGTTAAAGAGTTATTATTTAGTTTATTTAGTGATCTAACATTTAATAATTATTTAGTTTTCATAACAAAAGTGTTAAAAGTTAAATATTTTAAAAGCGATAGCTATGACTAGTTTCGTTACATAACTCTGTACAAGTCATACATTGTGTATGTAGTTTAAATATTGTTATGACAGCAGAAGTCACGCGACGCTGGGAGCATGCGTGCTGGAGTTTCTAGAAGGGTCATGAAGGCCCGAGTGCATTCGAGACTCCCTCTTTTTTGATATATAAGCCCAGAAAATAAGGCGGAGAGGAGAATTGCATAGACAGATAGATTGCAGAGATATGCAGATAGATTGAAGAGATAGAAAATTGAGTCAAGCAAACAGTAGGCACCATAAGTAAAGTGTGTGAATCACTGTGTTTTATAGCGTGTGTTATAAAAGTTGTTAAGTGTATTACAAAGTTAGTATCGAGAAAAAATAAACTAGTTTTAATTGAGAAAGGACTTGTATCGGTGAAGTTCCCTCGGAAAGAATTTATACCGGAAATTATCAAACAAGCAGATACGTAACAAATCGGTGTCTGAGAGTGGGAAGGAAAAGAAAAAAAATGGAAACGAGAGGTGGCAAATCAAACTACAACTTAGCAGATTTGATAGCAGCAATACAAGAACAGCAAAAGAAACAAGAAGAGAAACAAGAGCAGTGGCAAGAAAACCTGCAATAGTGGCAGCTCGAACAGCAAAATAAACAAGAGAGATTACAGCAGTGGTTGGAGGAGAAAGAAAATAAACAAGAAAACAGACTACAGCAGTTGTTGGAGGAGAA